AATTTAGGCTGAGAGTGGTGCCTCACGCCTGTAATCCCAGCACTTTGGGAGGCTGAGGTGGCAGATGCTTGAGCCCAGGAGTTTGAGACCAGCCTCGGCAATATGATGAAACCCCATCTCTACAAAAAATACAAAAATTCACTGGGCATGGTGGCATGTGCCTGTAGTCCCAGCTATTCAGGGGGCTGAGGTGGGAGGATCGCTTGAGCTCAGGAGGTCAAGGCTGCAGTAAGCCATGATCATGCCACTGCACTCCAGCCTGGGTGACACAGCAAGACCCTGTCTCAAAAAATAATAATAATTTAAATATCTTGCCTAGAATAACATAGCTAGAAACTAGCAGGGACAGGGCATGAATTTCAGTTTGCCTGATTCCAAATCCACTTAATGGCTGTGCTCAAGTGATCTCTTCCCTCCTCTCCACCTGGCAGGCATGAACAGTTTCCTCATCTTCGCCAGGAGGATAGACATTCGCATGGTCTCCCTGGACATCCCTTATTTTGCTGATGTGGTGGTACCAATCAACATTACCATGAAGAACACCATTGCCATTGGAGTAGACCCCCAGGAAGGTCTGTGTGGCCCTCCCTTCCCACCTGGCCTTCTGTCCCTGCCCTTCAGCAATTACTGTCCTTCCTCTCCCACCACCTTTGTCTCCTGCCAAGAGCCGGGGGTTTCCCATACCCTCTGGCATAGCCCCTGTCCCTGTCTCTCTAGCATTTTCTCTTTGGTTGTGAGAGCATGGTTTGGGGCCCTCTTCTCTCCATCTCTGCCAAGAGCTATCCTGCTATGATATTTCTGCATTTTCCTTGATTTCCTCTGCTAGAGGCTCCAGGGCTCTCTGACATGCTCTGGTGTTTCAGGACACGAATCAGCTGTGTGTGTCCCATTGTAGGGGGTGAGGGTCTTGGTTGAGCCAAGCTTTCCCTCTCCAGGAAAAGTGTACTGGTCTGACAGCACACTGCACAGGATCAGCCGTGCCAATCTGGACGGTTCACAGCACGAGGACATCATCACCACAGGTGGGACTTCCTCCCAGCCCAGGGACCACCTGTCTGGCAACGGGACTGGGGAAATAGCCCATCTGTTTTAAAATAGGAGCCAGTGTGCTCTTTTGACTTCCCACAGGGCTACAGACCACAGATGGGCTCGCGGTGGATGCCATTGGCCGGAAAGTGTACTGGACAGACACGGGAACAAACCGGATTGAAGTGGGCAACCTGGACGGGTCCATGCGGAAAGTGTTGGTGTGGCAGAACCTTGACAGTCCCCGGGCAATCGTACTGTACCATGAGATGGGGTGAGAGCTGGCTGTATCACACTGGGTAGTGTCGGGGGCTAGCTCAGCTGGGGTTATGATGGGGTGAAGGTGGGTAGCAGAGAGCAAGCTTGCATCACAGGAACAAGGTGACCTCCTTGGGGCTCTTCCACTCTCTTGTGACTTCTCGTAGGGTGACAGTACAGTGTAGAAGTTAAAAGCATGAGCCTTGGAATCAGAATCCCAGGATTGAAATGTTTTCATCATGTGTTAACTATATCACTTGGGTCCAGTATTTAACCTCCCTGATTCTCAGCTTCCTTACCTATCTATTAAATGGAGGTGGTAGTGAAAATACATACCTTGTCGCCCTTATGAAGATTGAGATAATGCACATGAAATATTTTGCAAAGCATTTTGTCAAGCAAAAATTTTGCCTGACATACTATAAGTACTCAAGTGTATCTGACATACTGTTAAGTACTCATGGTATGTGGTAGCTGCTGGAATAACTAGCTAGTATAGCTAATATTCTTCCTCACTCAGGTTTATGTACTGGACAGACTGGGGGGAGAATGCCAAGTTAGAGCGGTCCGGAATGGATGGCTCAGACCGCACAGTGCTCATCAGCAACAACCTAGGATGGCCCAATGGACTGACTGTGGACAAGGCCAGCTCCCAACTGCTGTGGGCCGATGCCCACACCGAGGTGAGAGCCGTGCCCTTGCTGCTTCCTAGGAGCCTGGGAAGATGGGAAAGGCCTGCCTCAGATCTCCACGGAGAGTTCCCTATCTGCTGATCACCACCCCCCACCCTCTCCTTCCTCTGCAGCGAATTGAGGCTGCTGACCTGAATGGTGCCAATCGGCATACGTTGGTGTCACCGGTGCAGCACCCATATGGCCTCACCCTCCTCGACTCCCATATATACTGGACTGACTGGCAGACCCGGAGCATCCACCGTGCCGACAAGGGTACCGGCAGCAATGTTATCCTCGTGAGGTCCAACCTGCCAGGCCTCATGGACATCCAGGCTGTGGACCGGGCACAGCCACTAGGTGAGAGTCAGAGGGCTGGGGCTGTGAGTCAGAGCCTCTGGCTTCCTGGGGCCGTCTCAACATCAGAGATATATCCAGAGCACAGAGCTCCTTTACAGCCAGAAAGACAGTGACCTGTTGAAGCTCCCTTTCAGGATTGGGCTGTGTTCTCTTTGGGTATGGCTGGTACTGCAGCTGTCACCTTCAGAGGACTCCTGGAGATCCTCCTGCAGACCCTCCTTCTGCCTCACCCCGCCAGGCACTGAATCCTGTCACTTAGAACAGCAAAGAGTCAGCCACAAGCAACTGGGACCTTTGTAAGATTCAGATGATGTTCCAGGCTAGGCGTGAACACTTCTGCTTTTCATCACCAGGTTTTAACAAGTGTGGCTCGAGAAATGGCGGCTGCTCCCACCTCTGCTTGCCTCGGCCTTCTGGCTTCTCCTGTGCCTGCCCCACTGGCATCCAGCTGAAGGGAGATGGGAAGACCTGTGATCCCTCTCCTGAGACCTACCTGCTCTTCTCCAGCCGTGGCTCCATCCGGCGTATCTCACTGGACACCAGTGACCACACCGATGTGCACGTCCCTGTTCCTGAGCTCAACAATGTCATCTCCCTGGACTATGACAGCGTGGATGGAAAGGTCTATTACACAGATGTGTTCCTGGATGTTATCAGGTATGAGCAACACTGAAACCTCCAGAGGACACAGATTTGCTTCCGATCGCCCATGGGTGAGGTTATGTTCTGACCGCTAAATGGATGAGTGATTCGGCACTTTGGATAGCGAGTTCTAATCCTGACTTGTTCACTTTGTAGTGTTGTCACTTAGAGCAGAGTTTCAAACTTTTGTTTGTTTAGAGATTACATGGAAGCCTAGTATGTAAAACAAACAACAACAATAAAAAACAGGTAAAGTCAGGGTGGGGACCTGGAGCCTTTCACATCTACCATTGTGCCCTGAGGGAGCTCCAAGAATCCCCGAGGACTTACTGATGAGTAGGCCATATTACCAGTATCTGTATTGCAGGAAAGGAGCCCCAGCCAAATGCCAAGGCGTATGGTGGTTTACAAAGCTGTTGTTTTTTATTTTTTTGTTGTTTTATTTTTATTCTTTAAATCTGTGGCCCTAACAAAGCTTAGGAATATGATGCCCTGCTACCAGTAAGAGTGGTTTCCCATGGCAGAGATTCTCACAGGGAGGAACAGCGAACATTCCTCTTTACTCTCCCCAAGGGATGTATTAGAATCTCAAGCTGGGGACAGGTAGGCATATGCAATTTCGGGAAGTCCCCTAGGTGACAGTGACATGCTCCCCATTCTGAGGTAGAGTTCCCTCCTGCCTGTAGGGCCTCTGCAAAAGTGCACAGATAGGGTTGGGCATAGTGGCTTACACCTGTAATCTCAGCACTTTGGGAGGCCAAGGCGGGAAGATTGCTTGAGCCCAGGAGTTCAAGACCAGCCTAGGCAACATAATGAAACCTCATATCTACTTGTATTTAAAATTATTTTTAACTTTTAAAAAATGCACAGGTAGGTTTTGACAAATCTGTATTTCTTATCATCACCACCTAACAATCCTTGTCTCTTCCCAAAGATATGTGGGGAATGATAAACCTGTCTTCTAGCAAGACATCCCCTGGCAGCCGCCACTATTTCCAGTTAGCAGGAAATACTCTATCCTCCTAAGAACTGGTTCATTCATTCTGCAATTATTTTATCGAGCATTTATCATGCTGGGTGCTGAGGAATGTACTCACAGATACTTGGTCTCTGTCCCTGTGGAGCTTACAGTTCAGTGGGGGTCCAGTTATGGGAACATGGGTTAAAGGAGTTCTACTCTATTCTGGGGCAGTCTGGTTGCTCATCCAACACTGGGCTCTCCCCAAGGCGAGCAGACCTGAATGGCAGCAACATGGAGACAGTGATCGGGCGTGGGCTGAAGACCACTGATGGGCTGGCAGTGGACTGGGTGGCCAGGAACCTGTACTGGACAGACACAGGTCGAAATACCATTGAGGCATCCAGGCTGGATGGTTCCTGCCGCAAAGTGCTGATCAACAATAGCCTGGATGAGCCCCGGGCCATTGCTGTTTTCCCCAGGAAGGGGTAAGTTTATGGCCAGCAGAAGAGAGATCCAGGGAAGAAGGGCTGGGTGGAAAAGATGGTGTTACCTTCTGTGTTCTCTCAACCTCTGGGTGCCGTCTTCCCTTGCCTTGATGATGATGGCGCTGTTGTGTCTCAGGTACCTCTTCTGGACAGACTGGGGCCACATTGCCAAGATCGAACGGGCGAACCTGGACGGTTCTGAGCGGAAGGTCCTCATCAACACAGACCTGGGCTGGCCCAACGGCCTCACCCTGGACTATGATACCCGCAGGTGGGAGTCCTGCACCAAACAGCCTCCTGGAGATCGGGTGGGCAGAAGAGAGAATGGTTGAGATTAAAATGGAAAAATGAAAAGATAGAAAGCTTCTTGGTATGTGGGGAAGAGGAACCATTGAGAAGGATGAGGGAATGTATTCTTAGAGCAGCGATTGCTAAATCCAGCCCTCAACCCTTAGGTGGGTCTCGTTTGGCTGGTTTACATGTTCCTAATTTGAGTACCTTTGGCAGAGCATGTCTTCTGGCTGGACCACAGGTCTCACACCCCTACTCATTTAAGGGCTGATTCTTGTATTTGTTATAATATAACAAATCCTGATCCCTTCAGGCTCTGGAACTTTGTTGTTGTTGAAACAGCATCTTGCTCTGTTGCCCAGGCTGGAGTGCAGTGGTGCAGTCACAGCTCTCTGCAGCCTGAACCTCCCTGGCTCAAGCCATCCTCTCACCTCAGCCTCTCAAGTAGCAGGGACTATAGGCACACACCACCATGCCCAGCTATGCCCAGCTAATTTCTAAATTTTTTGTAGAGACAGCGTCTTGCTATGTTGCCCAGACTGGTTTTGAACTCCTGGACTCAAGCAATCCTACTGCCTTGGCTTCCCAAAGTGCTGGGATTTCAGGCGTGAGCCACCATGCCTGACCCAGGCTCCAGAATGTACAACTACTTGTCTAGAAATGCTGAGGGCAGGGGGAAGGGGCTCTGAAGAAGTCTGTGCCCCCTTCTGACCCAAAAGAAGCGGAAGGGAATCCAAGACTTCTGGAACGGTGGTAGAATGCCTTCTTCTTTTAACCTCAGTGAGGTCCATGTAGACTGAGCTCACTTCTTTTTTTTTTTGAGACAGTCTCACTCTTTTGCCCAGACTGGAGTGCAGTCGCATGATCTCGGCTCATTGCAACCTCCGTCTCCTGGGTTCAAGCAATTCTCGTGCCGCCGCCTCCCAAGTAGCTAGGACTACAGGCACGTGCCACCACGCCTGGCTAATTTTTGTATTTTTAGCAGAGACGGGGTTTCACCATGTTGGCCAGGCTGGTCTTGAACTCCTGACCTCAAGTGATCCCCCGCCTCAGCCTCCCAAAGTGCTGGGATTACAAGTGTGAGCCACCATGCCCGGCCAACTGAGCTCTCTTAAAGACCATTTGTAAGAATTTGGGCTTTGATTCTTGAGTAGGAGTCAAAGGGCAATCAAATTCCAGAAGATGAAGCTGGGTGGTGGTTCCTCTGAGGTCACTCTACGCCTCCCCAGAGCAGCCCTGACCTCCCCACTCATGAACCACCAGCTCCCCTCCTCAGCTTTGGGACTCACAGTGACTCCTCATTAAGGGTGCTTCTTGAGTTCTCATAGCACCTGCCAGTCAGCTCAGGAGGTGACAGATAGGTTCTTAGGGGGAAGAGCTGGGCTTCCTGGCAAGCATTTGGAGCAGCCACTCTTTTCGTTTTCTTCGCAGAATCTACTGGGTAGACGCCCATCTGGACCGGATCGAGAGTGCTGACCTCAACGGGAAACTGCGGCAGGTCTTGGTCAGCCATGTGTCCCACCCCTTTGCCCTCACACAGGTACTGGCTCAGGAGAGAGGTAACTAACCTCCTTGCCTGGGATGTTTCTTTGGGGTTCTAAGTCAGCAGTCTCAGCTGTAGCTGCTACTGAACAGACATGCTATTGAAGCTCATTTTAGGGATTTTTCCTGTGCCCTGAAGCCTTGGTAGGTTGCTAGGGCCACCCAGTGCCTTCATACTCCTATCCTGCCATTCCCATGTTCTAGCATTCAAAGGCGTGGCTCTCAAAGAGTGGTATACAGAATCAGATGTGGCACTTGTTAAAAGGCAGGTTCCTAGGCCGTGACTATAGAGGTTATAGAGAAGCAGCTTCATGAGGGCTGGGCACAGTAAAATCCATTTTGACAAGTTCCCCAGTTAATCCTAATGCTGTGGTCCCAGCATCTGGGCTTAGGGAGCTCACTTAGTGGCAACAGAGTGGAGTGACTAAAAGCCAGAGTTTTGAGGCATCTAGCCAGTTTGTAAGTATTTAATGAGTACCATCAATGTGCCAGGTACCTGGGTTCAAGTTTTATCTGTATTATTAAATAACTGGGTAACTTTGAACCGGAGTGACTGAACCTCTCTCAGCTTCAGTTACCTACAAAATAAATCAGCCTAATAATAGTATCCTCCTGAAACAGACACAAAGCATTAGTATAGTACCTGGCACACAGTAAGCACCACACGCATGTTATCGCTACCCATTTTAATTATTATTAGCTGTCACTTTTGAGTTCTAACACAAAAATAATTTGGGCAAGGAAAAGAAGATCTACCAGGCCTGAGGCCAAAACAGGAATTCTCAATCATTTAAAAATCTTGGCCAGGTGTAGTGGCTTATGCCTGTAATCCCAGCACCCTGGCTGAGGCCAGAGTATCAGTTGAGCCCAGGAGTTTGAGACCAGACTGGGCAACATGGCAAGACCCTGTCTTTACAAAACTTTTTGTTAAATTAGCCAGGTGTGGTGGTACACACCTGTAGTCTCAGTTACTCAGAAAGCTGAGGCAGGAGGATCACTTGAGCCCAAGAGGTTGAGCTGCAGTGAGCTACGTTTGTACCACTGTGCTCCAACTTGGGCAACAGAGCAAGATGCTATCTCGGAGAGGACAGAGTCAGAGAGAGAGAGAGAGACAGAAAGGAAAGAAGGAAGGAAAGAAAGTAAAGAGAAATAAATTTGACCCTTTTTTGCCAAATATTATCAACTCTGTCTGTATTCTGTATTATGTTCTACTAGCCAAAAAGATTTTTGTTGTTGTTGTTGTTGTTGTTTTTAAGATGGAGTCTTGCTGTGTGGCACAGGCTGGAGTGCGGTGGCATGATCTCGGCTCACTGCGACCTCCGCTTCCTGGATTCAAGCGATTCTCCTGCCTCAGCCTCCCAAGTAGCTGGGACTACAGGCATGCGCCACCACACCTGGCTAATTTTTTTTTTTCTTTTCTTTTCTTTTTTTTTTTTTTGAAATGGAGTCTTGCTCTGTCGCCCAGGCTGGAGTGCAGTGGTGCGATCTTGGCTCACTGCAACCTCCACCTCCTGGGTTCAAGTGATTCTCCTGCCTCAGCCTCCCGAGTAGCTGGGATTACAGGTGCATGCCGCCACGCCCCGCTAATTTTTGTACTTTTAGTAGAGACAGGGTTTCACCATGTTGGTCAGGCTGGTTTCAAACTCCTGACTCGTGATCCACCCGCCTTGGCCTCCCAAAGTGCTGGGATTACAGGCGTAAGCCACCGCGCCTGGCCTAGCCAAAAAGATTTTATCTGGTGTTACTTAATGATAGGCTTTTTTTTCATATTCTAAATGTAAAACTACAGGGTAATACTGCATATAGGTTTTTCAATCTACAGGTTTCCCCACAGTTTCTGATATATACCCTTGGATGGGGATGAGAACACCTTGATTGCCCCTCCCTACCCTTGGCTGAGAATTTCACCATCATTGCATTAGAAGAAAGCTGCCTACAGAAGTAAGCAGAGGATTTGGGGCAGTGCTCTGAGCAAAGGGCCCAGAGGAACCTAGAATAACCTTCAAATTTCCTCCTATTTGCTAGAGAGGGAGCCATTCAATCAACTGAATGGGGACTGAGTGTTAGGTGCCAGAAATTCAGAGATGAATAGAACACATTCTTGTCCTTGAAGAACTAATCTGTTAGGATGGACAGACCTGTAAACAAATTGCTTGAGTATAAAAACGCACTTGGGCAAGTGACTACAAGGTGCAGAACTGCATAGAGGAGAGAATGGTGAAGTCTATATGGATTTGGGGAGATTTCCTTGACAGTGTCATGTCTGGGGATGCACAGAAATGAGGAAGAGATGAAGAGGGCATTTCAGCAGAGGCAGTGGCCAATGGTGAGGCATAGAAGCTGTACAAGAAGGAGTCTGCTTGCTGAATAACATTTACTGTTTGTGGGCTTCTCCTGTTGAGTAGCAAGACAGGTGGATCTACTGGACAGACTGGCAGACCAAGTCAATCCAGCGTGTTGACAAATACTCAGGCCGGAACAAGGAGACAGTACTGGCAAATGTGGAAGGACTCATGGATATCATCGTGGTTTCCCCTCAGCGGCAGACAGGTGGGCTCCCGGGTACTGAGCCTGCTTCCTTAACATCTGTGGGATTGGTCTGTCACCCCAAGGACTGTTAGGGACCAAGAGAGGGCCACAAGAGAGCTTCTTGGTTCACATTTTAAACGCTTAGACCTTTTTACTCCCTCACAGTTGTATATCTCCTGCTCCCCTGTCCCTGGGAGTAGGGTAATCCTGGATTTCCTGTTTTTGAGAAGCCTTAAATTGGGAGACCTGATTGTGCCCCAGATAAGACACTCATCTACTTTGCCTCTAGGGACCAATGCCTGTGGCGTGAACAATGGTGGCTGCACCCACCTCTGCTTTGCTAGAGCCTCGGACTTCGTATGTGCCTGTCCTGACGAACGTGATAGCCGGCCCTGCTCTCTTGGTGAGTTGGACTGTATGACTGGAGCCACTCAGCAGAGCCCCTGGAAGGGCTGAGGGTCAGCAGCCTCTGATCCTGGTCTGATCTGTCCTTCTGAGTGGGGTCCCCATATAGAAGGTCTTGTTAGTGGGGTGATTGGTAGCAATCTGCTTGGGTTTTGGGAATTGCTCAAACCTGGGTTTGTCTGCCCTCTGGCATTTGCGAGAACAGAATTCAGGTCTCTTGATTCCCACGTCCCTGCTGTGGGATAATCAGTGGCCTGTGCATCACTCTCTCTTCCTGACTTTGGTGAGCCAGCTGCCCCATCCAGAGCTACTATTATGGAATCCAACTCCTTCTTATTTATGGTATTAAGAAGGGCTACTAATGAAGGTGCCTGTGACTAGGGCAGCTAAAAGATTTTGTCAAGTTCTCCAGCTGCTACTCTTGGGCCATATGTAGAGGTTTGTGGTTCCAGTGGCCCACTCCAATCCTCTTTTTTGTCTAGTGCCTGGCCTGGTACCACCAGCTCCTAGGTCCACTGGCATGAGTGAAAAGAGCCCGGTGCTACCCAACACACTACCTACCACCTTGCATTCTTCAACCACCCGGACCCGCATGTCTCTGGAGGAGGTGGAAGGAAGGTAAATAGGTTCAATGCAGGCTCGTGAGCCCTTTGATTCAAATCACCATCCCACGACCAGTAGCTCATAGTCCCAGCTCGATCAGGTAGTTGGGAGGTAGATTACGTCATGAGCTACCAGTCCCTGTTATTTGGGACAGAAGGTGATATTCAGACTTGTAGACTGTTGCAAGTGATTCCCTTTTTAGCTCTGAGGGCAAGAAGCTTTAAGAACAACTTTAAGGCCAGGTGCGGTGGCTCACACCTGTAATCCCAGCACTTTGGGAGGCTGAGGCAGGTGGATCACTTGAGGTCGGGAGTTCAAGAGCAGCCTAACCAACATGGAGAAAGCCCCTCTCCACTAAAAATACAAAATTAGCCGGGCGTGGTGGTGCATGCCTATAATCCCAGCTACTCGGGAGGCTGAGACAGGAGAATCACCTGAACCTGGGAAGCAGAGGTTGCGGTGAGATGAGATCGCGCCACTGTACTCCAGCGTGGGCAACAAAGACCGAAACTCCATCTCAAAAAAAAAAAAACAAAAAAACAAAAAACTTTAAACAGAAATCACTTAGGAGGACCCTCCCACATGGTATTCCTCCTTCTTCTCTCTGTGACATTTGCTCTCACATCATAAGTTTGGCATACTGGCTTGTCCAACAGTAGTCTCTGGGCTGTGGCTTGATGACTTGGAACAAAAAGTCTTCCCCAGAGATATGATGGCCTTAGCTTATAATGACACGTGCACCTCCCTCACACATACACAAACACCATTATTAAATAAGTAAGCATAAACACGAACAGTTCTCAAATCAAGTATAAAGTATCTTATTTCATTAAATTAAAGGTGCTATTCATTATAAAATGCATCCTGATTTGAGAAATTAAACTGAAAAGATAACCAACAGCAAATGTGAAATGCTATTGATCGTAAGTTACACTCCTGTTTCAGAGATGGTAGACCATAGAAAAAACAAACATCTTAAAATCGATTAAATATGATGTTACATTCAATTCAGAGACATTCTTTTTTTTTTTTTCTTGAGACAGGGTCTCACTCTGTCACCCAGGCTGGAGTGCAGTAGCATGAACACAGCTCAAGCTCACTGCAGCCTCAACCTCCTAGTTTCATGTGATCCTCCAACCTCAGCCTCCCAGGTGGCTGAGACTATAGGTGTGTGCCACTATACCTGGCTAATTTTTTGTACTTTTTGTGGAGATAAGGCTTCTCCATGTTGCCCAGGCTGGTTTTAAACTTCTGGGCTCAAGCAATCTACCCGCCTAGGCATCCCAAAGTGCTGGCATTACAGATATGAGACACTGCACCTGGCAAAAAATTCTAATGACTGTGTTTTCCATTTATACTTTATAAAAAATAATCTGGGCCAGGCACAGCTCATGCCTGTAATCCCAGCACTTTGGGAGGCCAAGGTGGGCAGACCACATGAGTCCAGGAATTCAA